CTTTTTTTTTTTTTTTATAATTCAAAATTAAAGGCAAATCCGACACCAGATGGGAACCCTAATGGGTGTTTTGGTTGATGTCATTATTTAACATTTAAAAGTTTAGAAAGTTTTTTTTTTTTATTTTAAAGTTTTTTTTTTGCTTTTTGCTTTTTTTCTTTTAAATAAAAAGATTTATTATAAGCTGTTCCCATGATACTCTGCTGAGCGTACCGGGCTTGTGATAGATCTCCCCATTTCCGGGCATTTGATGAATCTGGTGATAAAACAGTTTTGAAATATGAAACTATAGAAAAGTTTGTTCGAATTTTACAGGATAAGTTAGGATTTGCAGATAACTTCAGCTGTCTATATCCCTGGATCCAATCATCGCTCTGCCATGCGTTTTATAACCACTTCAATCTCTGTCGCCCCCTTCCTGCCCCGGCCATGAGACCCTGCACCCAAATTACATTTGTCTCATTATTTTCATGCAGTTGGATCTTTCTGTTGGTGGTATTTCATCACTGCCGGGGTTTTCTATCTTCTGCTAAATAAACGAAAAAAGACCAAACGTTCTGAAAAAAAAAAAAAAAGAAAACCTTTTTCTTCATTTCTGTTATAAAATTTAACAAAGAAGTAATTTTTTCTTCTTCACTGATGAGGTGGAACTGATGAGCACTGATGAGGCAAAACTGATGGACACTGTTGATGCTGCGCTGATGCACACTGATGAGGCAGAACTGAAGAGCAATGATGAGACTGCACTGATGAGGCACTGATAAGGCGGCACTGATGGGCACTGAAAAGCTGCACTGATGGGTACTGATAAAGAGGCACTGAAGTGACTGCACTGACAAGGCAGCACTGATGGACACTTTTTGGCGACACTTATATGCCGCACTGATGGGAACCGATAAGTGGCACTGATATGTTGCACTGATGCACACTGATCAGGCAGAACTGATGGGCACTGATGAGGCAAAACTGATGAAGAGGCACTGATAAGGCGGCACTGATGGGCACTGAAAAGCTGCACTGATGGACACTGATAAGGCGGCACTGAAGCGGCTGAACTGACAAGGCAGCACTAATGGGCAACACTATGTCACACTGATGAGCACCAATAGGTGGCACTGATATGCTGCACTGTTGTACACTGTTGAGGCTGCAATGATGAGACGGAAATGATAAGCAATAATGAGACTGCACTGATGAGGCAGAATTGATGGGCACTGATGACGCAGAAGTGATGGGCACTGATGAGGCAGTACTGATGGGCACTGATTGGCAACACTGATATGCTGCACTGATAGGTGGGGCTGATGGGCACTGCTGTGCTGCACTGATGAGCACTGATATGCTGCACTGATGGGGCTCCACTGATAATGAGGGCACTGATGATCAGTGTAAACCTCCCCTTTTGCAGGAAAGCCCATTTTCGGCTTTCCTTTCCTCAGACAGTGACAGTGGTGGGGAAAGGAAATGCAGATAACCAGCGTTTATTTGCATGAGATCAGCTGTGATTGAACACAGCTGATCACATGGTAAAGAGCTAACACCATTGGCTATTCTTTTTCTACACAGATCACACAGTTTACCTACAAGGGTTCCCTCAAATCAGAACAGATTTCCCCCTCCACACAAACAAGGTAGATGGAGGAATCCCCCGCCGGGATATTGTATACTGGTAGAGGCAGCTCTCAGAAAATGTTGATAAGCGGCTGCAGCTGCTGATCGATACAAAAAATTCCAGCGTATCCTTTCAAAAGAAATCGATACATTGATTGACTTCTGTGCAGAATTAACGATCACACATTGATCAAACTCGGGCCGGTCCCTGCTGGACTGGCTACATTTCCAATGGTATATGGCCGGCTTTGAACGGAGCCGCTTGATGTAGGAGGAGTCACCGCTTTGACTTATTTTTTGTGTGTGTTTGTAAATGTCAGCTTGAACTATTGAGCTCTGTAAGCAATCAGCTTTTTATCACAGAAGAGCTTATGAGTCCCTCAAAGTGGAACTGAAGCACATTCTTTTTTTTTTTAATTCTTTTATTTGAGTTGCCAATGAGCTGTGTCAAATACCAGAATGACGTCGTTACTTCCTGTCATTCATAACACCACTCCAAGTACCCGAATGGGTCAGCAAACTAGTGTGGTGAGCATGTGAAGGACTGCCCCTGGGTTACGTGAGTGTCAGGACCAGATCCGAACCTGCAACCTCTGCTGTGTCTGGCAGTATCCCTTCTTGCTGAGCCACCTGAGATGCAGCACAGCTCCATGCCTGATTGCTTAGACAACCTTGCCTTGTGTCTTGTTTTCTTGCCCCTTGAACCCTTTGCTCCTCCCATGAACTTCCTATTTTAGCTATGCCTGTGCACTTCCTGTTTTCCTGATTATTGTGCTCTCTCCAGCCAATATCTTGCTCTTGTCTCTCCTGCTGCTGTGCATATCTCCTCTACCACTCGTTACCAACCTTTGGCTTGTTCCTTGACTACACTTCCGCTTGATCCCAACATGGAACCACTTGTTTTTCCGTCCTTTGGCTTGTTCCTTGACTACACTTCTGCTTGATCCCAACATGGAACCACTTGTTTTCCTGACCTTTGGCTTGTTCCTTGACTACACTTCCGCTTGATCCCAACATGGAACCACTTGTTTTTCCGTCCTTTGGCTTGTTCCTTGACTACACTTCTGCTTGATCCCAACATGGAACCACTTGTTTTCCTGACCTTTGGCTTGTTCCTTGACTACACTTCTGCTTGATCCCAACATGGAACCACTTGTTTTCCTGACCTTTGGCTTGTTCCTTGACTACACCTCTGCTTGATCCCAACATGGAACCTCTTGTTTTCCTGACCTTTGGCTTGTTCCTTGACTACACTTCTGCTTGATCCCAACATGGAACCACTTGTTTTCCTGACCTTTGGCTTGTTCCTTGACTACACTTCCGCTTGATCCCAACATGGAACCACTTGTTTTTTCCGTCCTTTGGCTTGTTCCTTGACTACACTTCTGCTTGATCCCAACATGGGAACCACTTGTTTTTCCTGACTTTGGCTTGTTCCTTGACTACACTTCTGCTTGATCCCAACATGGAACCACTTGTTTTTTCCGACCTTTGGCTTGTTCCTTGACTACACTTCTGCTTGATCCCAACATGGAATCACTTGTTTTCCTGACCTTTGGCTTGTTCCTTGACTGCTTGATCCCTACCTGCAATCACTTGTTTCTGACCTTTGGCTTGTTTACTGACTACGCTTCTGCTTGATCCCTGCCTGCTACATCTACTACTGGACCCCAGGCTTGCTCACCTCCTGGTGGGAGGATCCTGAGGACCATGACCTGGTACCAACATGCATCCCCATCTCCACCATCAGAAGCTCTGGTTAACACCGGTGAGTGCTTCCAGCCCCCAGCTCAGGTGAGCCCTTGTCATCCTCCTCCAGGGTGACCTACTTGTATGCCTATCCTGCTGGCTGGTGGGAGCCTCTCTACTGCTATAGCTACTGGTCTCCAGGCTTGACCCCTGACCGTGACATTGGGAAATATGGTGCCACCTACACTGGACTGGGGAGCACCACAGCACTTTACTTGTTCTGTCATAAAAAATATGCAAAGGAACCCACAACTCCACCTACTGGCTCAAAAAGAAAATACGAAAAAATATGTATTGCCAAAATATTTTGCAACATTTTATTTTTAAATTCTGACCGTGGATAAAGAGAAAAAAAATGTACAAAGCTACTACACGTTCCCTTTGGACCAGAGCACTACTTTAGGCAGATCACATCACAGGTATGTTCCAGGATGGATTGGGTTCGGTTTTTTCCTTGGCATTTTGCAGGCGGTGCCCCGTGGTGGAGGTTCGTTTTGAAATCTTTGCAATTTATTGAAAATAGGGGACGAGGGAAATCACATGTGCATAGGTATTCACAGCCTTTGCTCAATACTTTCTTGAAGCATCTTTTGCACCAATTACAGCCTCAAGTTGTTTTGAGTATGATGCTACAAGCTTAGAACACTTATTTTTGGTCAATTTCTCCCATTCTTCTTCGCAGTACCTCTCAGTGTAACGGAAGCGGACCCCGACTGCACTTGGGTATTTCCGTAAGGATACCACTTCCCCGTCCGAACACCGACCACAGACACCACCGCTGACCATACAAGACTAGACAACACCAGTCTTGAAGTAAACCAGGAAATAGACTACTTTATTTTAACACAGATACAAGATATATACACTCAAGGGAACAACCCCCCTCCCTGCATAATGACACAGGGAGGGGCAATCCACCTTTAGTAACAAGAGACACACCAACAGACAGTCCCATCAGGAGGGAGGGCTGCTGGAAACACCCCTCACCAAGCCAATACACAAACACATACATCCCATAATAGTTTGATCCCAAGCAAGATACACAATAGAACAATGGGATGCAACCAAATGGCATTAAACAGTCCCACAACCCCCCCACTTCAATATTAGGACAGATCACCCTGTACCCCTAACAGGCACAGGGTGACTTACACATAATAGGGATATGGGGAGCTGAGACAGGGGTCTCCCCACCTCTTCAAAGTGAGCTGGGTTCCATGGGCCCCCCACCCAAAGTGAGCCTGGTTCCATGGGCCCCCCACCCAAAGTGACTCCCGTCACAGACATTCTTCCCACTGACCATCAATGTAAAGAGCCATCTTCCTACTGACCCCCAATGTAAGGGACATTCTTCCACTGACCACCAATGTAAGGACATTCTTCCCACTGACCCCCAATGTAAGGGACATTCTTCCCACTGACCCCCAATGTAAGGGACATTCTTCTCACTGACCCCCAATGTAAGGGACATTCTTCCCACTGATCACCAATGTAAGGGACATTCTTCCCACTGACCACCAATGTAAGGGACATTCTTCCCACTGACCCCAATGTAAGGGACATTCTTCCCACTGATCCCCAATGTAAGGGACATTCTTCCCACTGACCCCCAATGTAAGGGACATTCTTCTCACTGACCCCCAATGTAAGGGACATTCTTCCCACTGACCCCAATGTAAGGGACATTCTTCCCACTGACCCCCAATGTAAGGGACATTCTTCCCACTGATCACCAATGTAAGGGACATTCTTCCCACTGATCACCAATGTAAGGGACATTCTTCCCACTGATCACCAATGTAAGGGACATTCTTCCCACTGACCACCAATGTAAGGGACATTCTTCCCACTGATCCCCCATGGTAAGGGACATTCTTCCCACTGATCACCAATGTAAGGGACATTCTTCCCACTGACCCCCCCAATGTAAGGGACATTCTTCCCACTGACCACCAATGTAAGGGACATTCTTCCCACTGACCCCCAATGTAAGGGACATTCTTCCCACTGACCACCAATGTAAGGGACATTCTTCCCACTGATCACCAATGTAAGGGACATTCTTCTCACTGACCCCCAATGTAAGAGACATTCTTCCCACTGACCCCCAATGTAAGAGACATTCTTCCCACTGACCCCCAATGTAAGGGACATTCCTCCCACTGACCCCCAATGTAAGGGACATTCTTCCCACTGATCACCAATGTAAGGGACATTCTTCCCACTGACCCCCAATGTAAGGGATATTCTTCCCACTGACCCCAATGTAAAGGACATTCTTCCCACTGACCCCCAATGTAAGGGACATTCTTCCCACTGACCACCAATGTAAGGGACATTCTTCCCACTGACCACCAATGTAAGGGACATTCTTCCCACTGACCCCCAATGTAAGGGACATTCTTCCCACTGACCCCCAATGTAAGGGACATTCTTCCCACTGATCACCAATGTAAGGGACATTCTTCCCACTGACCCCCAATGTAAGGGACATTCTTCCCACTGACCCCCAATGTAAGGACATTCTTCCCACTGACCCCCAATGTAAGGGACATTCTTCCCACTGATCCCCAATGTAAGGGACATTCTTCCACTGATCACCAATGTAAGGGATATTCTTCCCACTGACCCCCAATGTAAGGGACATTCTTCCCACTGACCACCAATGTAAGGGACATTCTTCCCACTGACCACCAATGTAAGGAGCATTCTTCCCACTGACCCCCAATGTAAGGGACATTCTTCCCACTGACCCCCAATGTAAGGGACATTCTTCCCACTGACCCCCAATCTAAGGGACATTCTTCCCACTGACCACCAATGTAAGGGACATTCTTCCCACTGACCACCAATGTAAGGGACATTCTTCCCACTGACCCCCAATGTAAGGGACATTCTTCCCACTGACCCCCAATGTAAGGGACATTCTTCCCACTGACCCCCAATGTAAGGGACATTCTTCCCACTGACCCCCAATGTAAGGGACATTCTTCCCACTGATCCCCAATGTAAGGGACATTCTTCCCACTGACCCCCAATGTAAGGGACATTCTTCCCACTGACCCCCAATGTAAGGGACATTCTTCCCACTGACCCCAATGTAAGGGACATTCTTCCCACTGACCACCAATGTAAGGTGACTCCCGTCACACTCAGGCTTCAAGATTCTTTCTTGGATACACAGAATATAACTGGATATAACATTTATAGGTGACGTTGATCCAGGGAATATCCGATTGCCTCTCGGGGGATCAGGAAGGAACCTTTTTCCCTGCAGGAGCAGATTGGATCGTGCTTTGCTGTTTTTTTTTTGCCTTCCTCTGGATCCACTGTGGGTGTTTTTTTCTTTTAATGGTTGAACTGGATGGACTTTTGTCTTTTTTCAGCCAGACTAACTATGTCACTATGGAAGATATGTCTGCAAACCCTGAGAACACCGTCGACCTTTTTAGAAAAACGAAGGCTCATTTAAAACCAATTCGGAAAACTGATGAAATGTGCGTCAGCCGGCGTATTTACCCGCGCCTTTCTCTGCTGGTATTAATATTCAGCTTACATTCATGTACACAGCCAACATACATCCTAAGTAGCCAGAAATCTCCTTTTCATTTTAATATGACCTAGATTTCCCAATGCATTATAATGAGAGCGAGGGATTAGCCGTCATTCATGACCCGGGATCTCATTACGTGCCTTCCCAAGATGCGCAATGTGCCATCGCCTGCTTCCTATGCCGCCGAGATGTCATTTGTGTACGAAGCGCAAACATCCTCCGCGTACATCACACAGATGACATCACTAGTCTGTGCAAACCCCCCCCCCCCCCCCCCCTACCATTAGCTCCATTCCAGAAACACGGAATTAGAATTATGATTTTTTTTTTTTTTGAGGGGGGGGGATTCTATTTTTTTGAACTCGACGATCGGCTTCCAGTGACATTTCACTTGTGACAGGTTTTGGATTCGCCGCGCCGCGCTCTCCATGCGCTTATCTTGCTCCCACAGGCAATGTATGAAAAAGTATGATAATGGCAATTTAACTTTTAATATAGCTAATCTCTCTTATGAAGATTAGATGGGGGGGCCGTAAAGCAGCCGGATTGTTTAACTGTGTGTGTTCCCGAGGCATACGAGACGATTTAAAGGGGAACCGTTCTGTCTCTGCAACGTGTGATGTATAAATACACGCCGGCGGCTATATAAGTGTTCCTATACCCCCCGCAGTACAATCGGTCTGTAGATCCAGTGACACATGCGTGTTATACTCACTGTGGAACCTAAGGGGCCCGGGTACATTAACTGTGTGTGTTCCCGAGGCATACAAGACGATTTAAAGGGGGAACCGTTCTGTGTCTGCAACGTCTGATGTATAAATACACGTCAAGTGTCACTGAACCCCCCGCAGTACAATCGGTCTGTAGATCCACTGACACATGCGTGTTATACTCACTGTGGAACCTAAGGGGCCCGGGTACATTAACTGTGTGTGTTCCCGTGGCATACGAGACGATTTAAAGGGGGAACCGTTCTGTGTCTGCAACGTCTGATGTATAAATACACGTCAAGTGTCACTGAACCCCCCGCAGTACAATCGGTCTGTAGATCCAGTGACACATGCGTGTTATACTCACTGTGGAACCTAAGGGGCCCGGGTACATTAACTGTGTGTGTTCCCGAGGCATACAAGACGATTTAAAGGGGGAACCGTTCTGTGTCTGCAACGTCTGATGTATAAATACACGTCAAGTGTCACTGAACCCCCCGCAGTACAATCGGTCTGTAGATCCAGTGACGCATGCTTCTTATACTCACTGTGGAACCTAAGGGGCCGGGTACATTAACTGTGTGTGTTTCCCGAGGCATACAAGACGATTTAAAGGGGAACCGTTCTGTGTCTGCAACGTCTGATGTATAAATACACGTCAAGTGTCACTGAACCCCCCGCAGTACAATCGGTCTGTAGATCCAGTGACACATGCTTCTTATACTCACTGTGGAACCTAAGGGGCCCGGGTACATTAACTGTGTGTGTTCCCGAGGCATACGAGACGATTTAAAGGGGAACCGTTCTGTCTCTGCAACGTGTGATGTATAAATACACGTCAAGTGTCACTGAACCCCCCGCAGTACAATCGGTCTGTAGATCCAGTGACACATGCGTGTTATACTCACTGTGGAACCTAAGGGGCCCGGGTACATTAACTGTGTGTGTTCCCGTGGCATACAAGACGATTTAAAGGGGAACCGTTCTGTGTCTCTGCAACGTGTGATGTATAAATACACGTCAAGTGTCACTGAACCCCCCGCAGTACAATCGGTCTGTAGATCCAGTGACGCATGCTTCTTATACTCACTGTGGAACCTAAGGGGCCCGGGTACATTAACTGTGTGTGTTCCCGAGGCATACAAGACGATTTAAAGGGGGAACCGTTCTGTGTCTGAACGTCTGATGTATAAATACACGTCAAGTGTCACTGAACCCCCCGCAGTACAATCGGTCTGTAGATCCAGTGACACATGCGTGTTATACTCACTGTGGAACCTAAGGGGCCCGGGTACATTAACTGTGTGTGTTCCCGAGGCATACAAGACGATTTAAAGGGGAACCGTTCTGTGTCTGCAATGTCTGATGTATAAATACACGTCAAGTGTCACTGAACCCCCCGCAGTACAATCGGTCTGTAGATCCAGTGACACATGCGTGTTATACTCACTGTGGAACCTAAGGGGCCCGGGTACATTAACTGTGTGTGTTCCCGAGGCATACAAGACGATTTAAAGGGGGAACCGTTCTGTGTCTGCAACGTCTGATGTATAAATACACGTCAAGTGTCACTGAACCCCCCGCAGTACAATCGGTCTGTAGATCCAGTGACACATGCGTGTTATACTCACTGTGGAACCTAAGGGGCCCGGGTACATTAACTGTGTGTGTTCCCGAGGCATACAAGACGATTTAAAGGGGAACCGTTCTGTGTCTGCAACGTCTGATGTATAAATACACGTCAAGTGTCACTGAACCCCCCGCAGTACAATCGGTCTGTAGATCCAGTGACACATGCGTGTTATACTCACTGTGGAACCTAAGGGGCCCGGGTACATTAACTGTGTGTGTTCCCGAGGCATACAAGACGATTTAAAGGGGGAACCGTTCTGTGTCTGCAACGTCTGATGTATAAATACACGTCAAGTGTCACTGAACCCCCCGCAGTACAATCGGTCTGTAGATCCAGTGACACATGCGTGTTATACTCACTGTGGAACCTAAGGGGCCCGGGTACATTAACTGTGTGTGTTCCCGAGGCATACAAGACGATTTAAAGGGGGAACCGTTCTGTGTCTGCAACGTCTGATGTATAAATACACGTCAAGTGTCACTGAACCCCCCGCAGTACAATCGGTCTGTAGATCCAGTGACACATGCGTGTTATACTCACTGTGGAACCTAAGGGGCCCGGGTACATTAACTGTGTGTGTTTCCCGAGGCATACAAGACGATTTAAAGGGGAACCGTTCTGTGTCTGCAACGTCTGATGTATAAATACACGTCAAGTGTCACTGAACCCCCCGCAGTACAATCGGTCTGTAGATCCAGTGACACATGCGTGTTATACTCACTGTGGAACCTAAGGGGCCCGGGTACATTAACTGTGTGTGTTCCCGTGGCATACAAGACGATTTTAAAGGGGAACCGTTCTGTGTCTGCAACGTCTGATGTATAAATACACGTCAAGTGTCACTGAACCCCCCGCAGTACAATCGGTCTGTAGATCCAGTGACACATGCGTGTCTTATACTCACTGTGGAACCTAAGGGGCCCGGGTACATTAACTGTGTGTGTTCCCGAGGCATAAAGACGATTTAAAGGGGGAACCGTTCTGTGTCTGCAACGTCTGATGTATAAATACACGTCAAGTGTCACTGAACCCCCCGCAGTACAATCGGTCTGTAGATCCAGTGACACATGCGTGTTATACTCACTGTGGAACCTAAGGGGCCCGGGTACATTAACTGTGTGTGTGTTCCCGAGGCATACAAGACGATTTAAAGGGGGAACCGTTCTGTGTCTGCAACGTCTGATGTATAAAATACACGTCAAGTGTCACTGAACCCCCCGCAGTACAATCGGTCTGTAGATCCAGTGACACATGCGTGTTATACTCACTGTGGAACCTAAGGGGCCCGGGTACATTAACTGTGTGTGTTCCCGAGGCATACAAGACGATTTAAAGGGGGAACCGTTCTGTGTCTGCAACGTCTGATGTATAAATACACGTCAAGTGTCACTGAACCCCCCGCAGTACAATCGGTCTGTAGATCCAGTGACACATGCGTGTTATACTCACTGTGGAACCTAAGGGGCCCGGGTACATTAACTGTGTGTGTGTTCCCGAGGCATACAAGACGATTTAAAGGGGGAACCGTTCTGTGTCTGCAACGTCTGATGTATAAATACACGTCAAGTGTCACTGAACCCCCCGCAGTACAATCGGTCTGTAGATCCAGTGACACATGCGTGTTATACTCACTCACTGTGGAACCTAAGGGGCCCGGGTACATTAACTGTGTGTGTCCCGAGGCATACAAGACGATTTAAAGGGGGAACCGTTCTGTGTCTGCAACGTCTGATGTATAAATACACGTCAAGTGTCACTGAACCCCCCGCAGTACAATCGGTCTGTAGATCCAGTGACACATGCGTGTTATACTCACTGTGGAACCTAAGGGGCCCGGGTACATTAACTGTGTGTGTTCCCGAGGCATACAAGACG